AGGAAAAATAGACGTTATGGTTTTTGATGGTAAACAGTGGACTTACAGGTATTTCGATGATGTTTGGTACTGTCCTGATGTTGCTTGTAACTTATTCTCTGTGAGGAAAGCAGGTGAAAAAGGCATTCACCAGACTGTGAAAAACAATGGTAAGTCATGGGTGTTTTCTCAAAATGGAACAATCATTGCTTTGGCTATATTTAATACAGCTAATCAATTGTATAATATGGTTGTTAAGGTCATTCCACCAAAAGAATCATGTTTTATTTTGAAGAAAATAAACAATAACGATGATAAACACTACTTTAACATTGAAGAGAGTAGCAATGATATCGAGCATGATCCCCTTGACAGTAGACAATCAATTCTAAATGATGAGACCAGAAATCAGCTTGTTGACAGTAATCAGGACAATATATTCCATGAAGAAGAGCAAGATATTGTGTATCCAGGAACCAATGATACTGATGAGCAAGACATGTTGTGTCCTAGTGATGATAACGCTATTCCAGGTGATATATTACAAGAGGAGACTTATAACCTGAGAAAACGTGATGGAATAAAAATACCTATGAGTTATAGAGATGATTCTGTCATGTGTGTCAGTGACAGAGATAAAAATGAGCTTTTAGCTTCTGCAATACTTACAAACGAAGTACCGGAAAATTATGATGAAGCAATTAGATCTGAGCATGTCGTCGATTGGAAATCCGCTATGGATGAAGAAATAAATTCATTAATAAAAAATAAAACTTATGATTTGGTTGATCAACCAAAAGGAAGAAAAGTCATCGATAATCGCTGGGTATTTGCACTGAAAACAAATTCTGAGAACGAGATCATTCGTTACAAGGCGCGTTTGGTCGCAAAAGGATTTACTCAGCGTCCTAGTATTGATTATGGTGACACTTTCAGCCCTGTAGCTCGGTTTAAGACGATGCGAACTATGCTAGGCTATTCAGTTCAGTACAATCTTGCTATCAAACAGTTTGATGTTAAAACAGCATTTTTGAATGGCAATCTTGATGAGACTATTTGGAAGAGTAAGCTTCAACGGTGTGTTTCCCAATCTTCAATGGAAGCAGAATATGTTGCCGCTAGCGAGACCTGTAAATACCTTCGTGTTGTGAAAGAGATTGGCGCAATTGAAGAAAAGTCTATTCCTATACTACATGTGGACAATCAAAGTGTGATTAAACTTATGAACAATCCAATGTTCCACGATCGCTCTAAACATATTGAGACGAGATACCATTATGTTCGACAGTTGGTCTCGGGGAAACAGATCACTGTCAGATACATTCCAACAGAAGAACAAACCGCTGATATTTTAACAAAGGGCTTATCATCATTGAAACATGTTAAAATGAAAACTTTCATTGGGATGGTGACCTCTTAACTAAAACTTATTTTTCTAAAATGTATTATGGACATTACGGGGGTGTGTTAAAGATGTAATTTATTCATATTATAATGTCCATAATAGTTATGTTAGAAAAGAACATATGATGTTTCCTTGGCAACAGAGTTTAGTTGTTTGTTATATTTTGATGAAGTAAGATGTATACACAAATCTAAGTTTTTCATTCTATCAGTGTTACTATTAAATTAACTTAATTTTTGATCCACAAGACGACTTGTTATTTTAGACGATATTTCCAACAAAATCAACTACCCCTGAAAAAACCAAAAAGAAGCGAGGTGAGTCATCAATCAAAGATAAACATAGGAGGCAACGTTATCGCACCGAATGGGAACAAAAACCCGAATTCAAGGAATGGTTAAGGCCTGCTAAAGGTGATCCTTTTAAAGCATTTTGTTGTGCGTGCAACTCAACATTCACATCTGAGCTGGTAGTTATAAAAAACCACGCCAAGTCAAAACCGCATGTAAATAAAGCCAAATCCATAACTATTCAACCTAAAATAACTGAACTTATGTTTGATAAAACAAAGCAGAGCTTTGACAACCAAGTGAAAATTGCAGAGATTAGAACATGCGCATTACTTGCAGAGAATAATTTATCTTTTAAAGCAGTCGATGCAATTGTCTCTCGAGATAAGGCATGCCATCCAGATTCCAAAATTGCTCAAAATGTAAAACTAAAACAGACCAAAGCCAATGGTATAGTTAAACATGTCATAGGCAAGTATGAAAATTATTTCCTATCCAGCAAACTAAAGTCCAACAAGTTTAGTGTGATTATTGACGAGTCGACAGATATTGGAACAATCAAAAACTTGTGTATGTGTGTGAGATTCTCTGACAGTGGTAAGATTGTTACAAGGTTTTGGAAATTGGTCCAGGTATTTGCTTCAAATGATTTTAAAGCATCAGCAGATGGTGCAACAGCTAGTCGTCTTTATGATGCCCTTATTAAGTCCTTCAACGATGCCGGAATCCCTATGAGTAATATAATAGGATTCGCAAGTGATGGTTGCAATACCATGTTTGGCGACAAAAATTCAGTAGCCCAAAGGCTGGACGTAAATTTTCCTGGCGTTACTCTATCCAAATGCATCTGTCACTCGATACATATATGCTCGAGTGAAGCCTGCAAAGAGCTACCACGTGCTCCCGAGGAACTTGCTCGTGACATATACAATTTCTTCAAGAACAGCAGCAAACGGCAATCACAATTTGTAGAGTTCCAACAGTTTTTTGAAGTTGATGTGCACAAAATTCTACGACCATCTCAGACTCGCTGGCTATCCCTCCAATTAGTGGTGGACAGAATTTTAGAACAATGGGTACCATTGCTCAATTTTTTTGAGCTGCAAGCATCTGAGTCGAAACAACCTAATGTGTGTAATATAGTGCGTACAATGAGAGATCCCACAACTAAATTATATTTTCTATTTTTACAGTGGGTTTTACCGAAATTTGTTGGCCTCAATAGACTTTTTCAAGGGGATGGTGCTTTGATTTCAACAGTGTACGAAACTATGTCCGAGACCTACAAAGAGGTTTTACTGTCATTCATGGACTCAAAATATGTGTCTGAGACTGATTTGGAAAAAATTGACCCGGCAAATGAAGATAAACAGCTCCCTCCATCTCAGATATATTTAGGCGTCTCCTTGATGAACTTGGAAAACAACCCGATAATAAAAGGAAACAAGGATGCAGCAGAAATCACTATCTACTTTCGAAAAAGATGCAGGCAGTTCCTTATCAAGGTAAGAGGCATATTTGCAATTATGATAAAGTTACGCCATATGGAGTTCCTTTAGGATTTGTTTATTAGATTTAATTTACTAGTTTGTATTTAGTTTAAACTATTAATATATATATATATATATACCTGTACGCTTAGATGAGGTTCTTGACACTGAAGCCAAGCCCTGCGCATCTTTGCATTTAGAGATGAGATGCCACAGCTTTCTGTATGAAAATTGAGGATATTGTTTGTTCATATCGTTATCATATTTACTTTATTGTTTTATATATTTAATTCAACATTTGTTTTCAGATTTGCCAGGAAACAAGAAAGAGGTTTGACTTCAGCAAAGACTCCCCGTTTGCTAAGATGCGATGTCTTCATCGGAAGATCGCTACTTCAAAAGATGATCCACGTCGGCCTCTGTCCATCATCGAACTTGCATCAACGGTACCTCGTATTATTAGTCCCACGAACACTGAACTCCTGCAGAAAATTGAAGATCAGTGGCGGAAAATAGTGCTCAAAGACTTTGTTGTCGATTTTAAAGACATGACAAATGATGAGTTTTGGAAATTCATGGGAGATTATTGCAGTCTTGACGGAGAAAAGGAGTTTAGAGAATTGAGTATGTTTGCCCTTGATGTGCTAGCACTACCATTTTCGAATGCGGCGTGTGAAAGAGTTTTTTCCAAAGTAAACTTGATAAAAACAAAAACAAGGAACCGAATGACTACAACAACAATAAATGGACTTCTTCTAACATCTCAACATGTTTCTGCAGGCGGAGGAAGTAGTGTATTTGAGGTTCCTCAATCCATGCTATCTTACATGACGTCAACCAATTTATACAAAAAGAGAGCAGAGTGTCCATCCAGTGTACCTACCATATCTTCGGACTTCGGAAACGAGAGTGAAGAGGACATAGTTTTCTTCGATTCCGATTAAAGAATGATAGGTTACATCATAGATAAAAGGAGTATAGACATACACCTTTTATACTCCTGTCTATACTCTTTTTATCTATGGTTACATGTAAGGGATGTAACATGATGATGTGAGATGTAGATGCGTGTTTTGTAGGCCTTTGGCTTACAGTGTGTGTTCTTTGTTTGTGTGTTTTTTGGTGTTTTGTAATTTTAGTTCCTATTACATTATTGAGAAGAGATTTTAATTTAGGTTTGTCCTGTTCCAACTTTTATATTATTTGTTCAAAGTACTGGATTTGATTTATGTAGTTTCTATTTTATTATTAGCGGCTAACTATAATAGTTACCACGAGAGTTATTTAATTTAGTTGAATTTATTGTGTGCAATAAAGTTATCCCGTTACATATGATACCCAACCCAGGTAATTAACTTCTAGGCCTATGGAGTATGGCAATTGGTTTTGTAGGTCTCTGGAATTTGTTTTGGTTCCTATCCTATTCCACATTACTGTATTGAGAAGTTATGATTTTGATTTGAGTAACTTTCCTTTTCCCAACTTTTATATAGCCTATTCGCCAAAGGTTTCATAAGATAGATTTTTTTATGTTTTCCCATCTCTAATAAATACTGAGTTTTGATTGAAAACAGCAAAAACGTTTCTGATTTACTTGGTATAACCTCCCAAACCAATTTTGTAAAAGAGTACTATTCTATTGCCCAAATTATCGTACAAATAGCATTATCGTACGGTGGCGTATCGTACATCGTACGGGAGGCTAAATTATCGTACAAAACGATAATTATCGTACGTCTGAGAACACTGCCTGGTAGTGAATGTGTTAATAACCTCTCTCACAGACATAATATGGTTATTATTACACAGAGGTAATGTTTATTTTTGTTTTCACAGAGGCCATTTCCAATGTTAGAATTTCACATAGACGAAGGACAGTCTCCTTCTCGGGGAATGTCAGTAGAAGAAATGAAGATGATGTTGAAATCCTGGAGCCTGAAGCCGCCCTCCAAGAAGCATTACACGTTGCCGCCTTCCAAGCTCAGCGGCAACGGAAGAACAGTGGATATTCCTTTACCAGTGATCTACCAGACGGTGCTTTGAAAGTTAGAGCTTTGTGAGTGTTTGAATTTGTATTAATTTGAGAAATACAGGCCTTGCTCTAATGTTTGAATACTGTGTACATCTGTATACTTTTTATAAAGCTAATTATGTTCATGTACTTTTGAGAAAACCGTAAGCTGCACATCTATCAAGTTCATACTTGAATATCCATACTTGAGTTCATACTTGGTCTTGAAAGGAATGAGAATTTTCCCTGTAAAATATTATTTTTTCAATAAACTCTCACGTAAGGGCACATATCTTATTCAAAGGGATGTATTATGGAGACACTATCAGTTGTTAGACTTCCTTAATTTTCCTAGTAGAGTTTATATATTACAAGTGGAATTAAATCAACTTAATTAAAAAATATATATATATTTTTTTAACAGCTGTCCATGCGAGTAGTCGAACCATTAAACTTCCTATACACTTGTGTAGTAAACATATAAAATAGTAGCACGGTAAATAAACGCAACAATTGCATATATAAGATGTATAATTAAATCGTTTGATTTCATGATCTTTCAAATTTGTTTGTTGGCACAGTAATGATTTTATAAGGCTATGCAAAAATTAACAGAAAACAAATGCATATATTGTTACTCTAGATTCCAGATATATAGGTTCTGTGGCACAACCTTCAAAATTTCCTTTGCATTGGATACATTCAATCTGTTCATTGTTCAACCATTTTCAAGAAAAGCATTATAAAATTCAATATCAGTTGTAAATTTTAAAATAAAACTAAAAAAATACAACAAAAATAAATATACTGGCTTTTACAAAATCGCTGTATTTACATAATTATAGAGGAAGTATTTGACTTGGTTACTAACGACTAGCTCTTTAGCGAGCTAATCGCCAGTTTTATCACTAATTTATAATGATAATTACTCTATGGAATACGTGTGCTAGACAGTATTTACGCAGTATTGTTGTCGGAAGTCATGGTTGAGTTGCTTAAATATACATCTTATAACATTTATCTCAAAGTTAACTGTAAAATAAAAACACAGTAAGTAAACACTATTGATCCATTAAATATATATTGAACCAGCTGTAACCATGGCTTTTCATGGTTACTTCAAAGAACAACATTGGACTTAAATAAGCTGTCAGAGAGCATCTGTGCCCTAGGAGAGTATTGAAATAAAAATGACTATCTCCACTAAGCCTATGTTAAAAATTTGACTAGCCATCATTCTTACAGCATCTAATCAATATATCTCCATACAGATATTTCAATTATTTTTTTTTCTGCTAGTTTGTGTCCAAGGCAATGGTTACTCTTGCAAATTCTTTCAATATGAAAACTGGCGTATTATTCCAAGGGGCAGGAAAAGCATACCCCCGCAAACAATCTTCCGATATTAAAAACATTTTAAATTCACTTTCCATGATTGTATTTAGCAACCATTTTACCAATCTAAAAATATTTCAACATCAACCTAAAGTATCAATCTATTTATAAAGTATTTCTTGACCCCCGGTATTATGACCACAGGGTAAATTGCACCCTGGAAAATTTACCCTATTATGAGAGAATAGCATTTAGCCACCATCAGAGCCCACAACCACAATCAGATATAAAACATGCATCAAAACAGGCCTCTGATATTAACGATAGCATTATAAGTCAACCTGTGTTGTCTAAAACCAACAGTTATATGTACAATATGCTTTACAATACTGAAAACGTTACACTTACAGGAATGTCCTTGGCAACTTCCATCTTCTGCTCTGTGTTGTTAATGTTTATGTTTGACTCAACGGCGATTTATGTGTTTATAGTTCCATTGATCTTACTCCTACTACTTGGACGTATAAAGAATAGATTCATTTACTATTTTTTTATAAAACTTACTGTAACAAAAACACATTTTTACATTTTTCAACCACCTTCTGGAAACAGTATGTCACAGAACAAATTGCCTGAAATATCCTTACTCCCAGACAAGATTTCCCTCCTAATTTAAGAACCTCTAGATGTTCTGAAATATGTAGCTCTTTAGGGATTTAAGATAATTTTTGTCTCACTTATTCTTCAAATCACTTGAGACTCACATACTAGCCTACATATTATGAACCAAATAGTTTTTAAAATATTAATTTTCTCAGGAGCATTGTTATACAAACTTTAAATAAAAATTAACTGTTGTTAAACAATCCCTGATTCTTCGGAGTTCTGACTTATTCTTTGCTGTTTGTTTAAAAGCCCTCTAAATTTGTTTAGACAAAAATACTTGACAAATAGTCGAATCTTTAAGGGAGTTTTATTTTTTTGCATCAGGTTTCTGAGATTCTGAGATTTTGGGGATTGGAGTAGTCAAAGGTATATCAAAGGTATATTTTGCCTTTTAAAACTTGTATAGTGAATTAGTTTTGGATGATAGGCTTAGAGTCAAGTGGTCCAAATATAATATTCTTGCAAATTGTCACTTGTTAAAGTAAAACAAAATTTTAGAACGTAAAGTAGTGGTGATTTACATTTTACTATGTTGGAAAGTGGCGAATCGTTGCATTTGGGTAATTGAAAATAAACAACTTTATTTTTTTTTTCACAAAATCGTTTTTTTGCACATGATTCTATATACTCTACAATAATTGTGTGGCAGGTTTCAGAGGTTGGGCAGAGCAGTGTGGAATCACTCAGACACTGTGTGGGCAAAAACCATCTCATGGATAATACTGGCGCTGCTGCTGTGGGCGATCCTGTACAGCATCGAGGGTGAAGGCATGGGACCCGAGGGCGACTTGTTCAGACTGCTGGTGGGTAGGTCGCAGAATGAACTCAACAGATTTATGGTGGGTAGGTTTTAAGCTCTTCGTCAAACACGTTCAATGGAGCACCAGTTGAAAAACAGAAACACTTTGCACTCTAGCTTCAGCAAGATTTAGACTTGGTAGGTCACATAGATGCACTGGGTAGCAGGAACAGCTGGTGACATAACCTTAAACTGAGAATAATACTCACAGAGTAGTGCATACGTTATGTACAAGTAGTCATGATTATCCTTATATACAGTGTGGTAGAAAAGTCCTGGAACGGTTAAATATTTTAAAAAATAATGCAGATAGAGCTAAAATACTTGGTACAAAGTTACAGGGCATAAAACTCTATTTTAACACATATTCAGTGATCCAATAATTCTTCAGGGGGACGGCCCACAAGGAGTCGGAAGAAAATCTTAAATGGAAGCATAGGTCAATATGCACATCAAATTAAAGGTCTTTTTTAGTAGAATACAATGCCGCAATTTGCACTTCAAAAGGTTGATCCTGCGCAAAATGGCGGATGTTCAAAGATTTCTTGAATCCGCCATTTTGAATCTTTGAACAACTGCCATTTTTTACTCAGGCATTCTTTTGAGCTTGAATTTACGGCATCGTAATCTAAAAGTGAAGACCTTCAATTTGATGTGCATATCGACCTATTCGATTCTTACGTTAACAATTTTCTTTCGATTCCTATGGCTGTGCCCCCTGAGGAGAAAGCGTATAATAGCAATGTAAATTAAATGAATCTTTGAACAACTTTTATTTTGCGCAGGATCAACCTTTTGAAGTGCGGTTTGTGGCATTGTATTCTACTAAAAAAGACCTTTAATTTGATGTGCATATTGACCTATGCTTCCATTTAAGATTTTCTTCTGACTTCTTGTGAGACGTCCCCCTGAAGAGTTATTGAATCACTGAATATGTGTTAAAATAGAGTTTTATGCCCTGTAACTTTGTACCAAGTATTTTAGCTCTATTTGCATTATTTTTTAAAATATTTAACCGTTCCGGGACTTTTCTACCACACTGTATAATACAAGAAGGCGATTTCTACAAAACACTACTCCTCCGTTAATTAAAAATTATGTGTCAAAATTAAGTATTTCTTTCGGGCTTTGCCCCACAGGCCATCAAAATCCCAATGTATTTCTTATGAATAAAAGATTTTGTTTACTCAAACAGACAAATTATTTGTGTTAATTAAAGCTGTTCATAGTAAACACGTGATACACACAAGAACTTTCGTATTCAGTGTGAGTTCGTTTCCAGTTTCGATAACTGGTGTTAATTGATTGATTACATTATCTTTGAGTTGACTCTTTTAAGTAATCGTAAATTGGAACTGTTATTGGTTTTGAACACCTGTAATACTTTGCAATTGCTCGAATTCGAGCAACAGGTGCACTAGTCGTCTTTATTACCTGAACATATGTGTGATCAAGAACCCTGAAATTACATGCTATTTCTGTGTGTTATGATTGTTCACTGTAAAGGGTATGCCAGGACAACACCTTTTGCCCCTCTGTACTTAAAAAACACACACTAGGCTTTTTGGAAGATACCTGCACTTGACTGAACAATCTGATTGTTTTAGAACACTACATGCTACTTATTTTGTCAACACACTCACACATGCATATTTCTCTGCCACTAATGTCAATAGAGATATGGATATTATCTTATATCCTACATTTACAGTAGTGGTATTTTTTTTTTACTTTGTCAGCAATTTTCATGTTATTTGTGATGGTTTCATTGCATCGATGACTTTCCCTATGAAGTAAGAGAACCAGAGGAATCAATTTAATAAGGGGTAGTAAAAATAACTGGTTTACGACATAGGCGTAACTAGGATGACTCCGGGGGGCCTGAGGGATGTGGAATATCCCCCAGGGAAGGGGGGGTCAGGGAAAATTTTTGGAATTTAGACCTGTAAACTCATGTTTTAGCTTATTTAGATACATATTAAACAGTTTTTTAATTGTAGAAAAAAACTGTATAAACAAATTTGTTTTAAGGTCAAGGAGGGGATTCAAACCCCCCCCCCCCCCTCCTGGATCAACCACTGTTTCTTGATAACACCTTACAGGATGTTTTGGGTTGATGCGTTTACGGGGGGGCCTTTTTCAAACCAATTGTATAAATTAACTGAATTAACTGTTATTTGCTCTTTGAATTTACTCTTTTGCATTTATTTTGAAAACATAACCTACTGGTACATTAAGTTTTGTTATGTGTGTTGTTAGTTTTGTTATATATGCGGTAATAAATGCAGAGAAGCAACAACTATTTGTAGAATGCTGGTAATAGAATGCTAAGTAAGTTCCCAACCAACCAGTCATGAAAATGCAATAAAATTGTGTTATTTAAACACTAGCCTCAGGAGTCAGATAAATTTGTCCGATAGAATGTACTAAATGATAATAATTTCCTATAACATCCCGTCCTTATTTTAAAGCTGTACAGCCAACAGGTTTCAAGCAAAAATTAAGGTATCTCAGTTCTCAGTTGAGCCACTCGCATATCAGTTTGCTGCTATGAATTACTCATATCTGTTGAATACGCTTACATTTTAACCATTTTAAGTCAACCTAAAAGCACCAGTCATTGAAAAATCTAGCATATAGCATAATATCTCATAAATTATCATACTATTAAACACCAAATGAGAAAATATTATTGTTACAGGAATTTAGGCTTCAGCTCGTTTGTATAGATGGGATTGTCTAGTCTTCCTCTATCTATGTCAGTCAAAGATATAACACACTTGTTTTAGGTGATGATTATCGTGGCCTACCTGATGGGCCAGGTGACGGAGTTGTGCAAGTTGCCAGGACTGCTCGGGATGTTGGTTACGGGACTTGTCCTCAGGAACATAAAGTTCTATCACCCGGCTGTTGGTAAATACGCTGACCTGACTAAAGTCATGAAGTAAGTAACTCCAGATACCTTCCCATTGATATCATCATCCACCAACACATGCATGACATATATTTTAAGCTTAATATGAATACTGACTAAGCTCTGGTCTTTCTTTAGCCAGGACTATTAACTATAACTATTGACTGTTGAATACTGAAGTACACATCTCATCTATACGGACCAGCTGTCGGTTTACAAAGTATCCTTAAACACAGTCACTATTTAAACAGGTGTACGAATTAAGACATGACACACAGCACAATGAGTAGCCATGTGAACTATGCCTTGGTAGTGGCACAGGGAAGTAAGGTAAAGAGGAAACATTAAATGGTACACATAAGTGGTGTCCAGTACTAGTTTCTGGTGTATAGGGAAAAGTCCATCGCCACCCCCTCACCCACATCTACTACAACGCTCGAGGTGAATGAAGATCCTAATAATGATACAACTAATGGAGTGTGCTCTGTGTGATGAACATTTCTACATAGTTCCTGACATTCTGGCTCTCCCTTGCTCGTCACATACTAGAGCTGAAAGCGCACAGACCTTCCATAAGCAAGTTTCCTCTGTACCTTACTCTATGGTAGATGGTAGAGGATTTACGTGATGGAAAGACTTATTGCTCCCCCATACAGTTCTACAGATTATATACTGTTCTTTGAAGGTTCAGCTGTCTTTACCAGAATAACTGTCATATCCCTTTTGACACATTTAGTTTGAGGTCAACTATAGGACCTTTTCATCTAACTTTGCCACTACTACAGTGTTATGCTATGTACAGACAGCTGGCCACTACCTGTGGTATGATCAGAGCAGGCATGAGGCTAGTACCTGACGCTATCTACGCAGCCCTCCACTGCCACCATGGACTGGTGCTGTCTGGCCTAGGGTTCCTTCCTTCATTCCTGGAGGCCATGGTGACAGCTGTGATCTCATACTTCATCCTTGACTACTCCATAATCTGGGCCCTCTGTCTCGGGTAGGCTATTGTGTAAATGTAAATCATTCAAAATCTCATCAGCTGGACCAATATTTGAATGAGTTTAAGATGTTTATTGTACTAGAAATGTGTTATGCAATGGAAAACCATTGTTTGCTTTCATGACTACAGTGTTTGTTATGAACTACTGTGTGTAATCACGTTTAAGATCCAGGGAATATGTTTCATGTCTCTGTGGTAAAAGAATTGTTTTATAAAATCTGGGGAATTACTTAGTGAACTCTAGTAAAATAATGTCTCTTTTACAAAGACAAAGTAAATTAAGGACTTCATTGAGATTAAATTTGACACTCAATCCCTTACCGTACATCATCCTCTACTGTTCTAGTCGGCTTCCATCCCTGTGCAACATTTAAAAACTATGTGAGGGGAAGTAAATGCTCTTGCCAAGTAAAAGGTGATGATTGGTATTGCCAGTTTGTCACATTTAAGTGGGAACTGGCTAGATGTCAGATTTGAACTCGTTGGCCTCAAGTTGGTGAACTCACTTAACAGACAACCCCTTTAATTAATGAATTACTTAAACAAAATAATGTTTAGAATTTCTAGTTGTGAAAGGCAAAAAAATTGTAAACAAGCAAAACATCCAACAAATCTGTTAGTTATCAAAACTAAACTCCGCCGCAGTAATAACAATAATTGTTGAATACAAATATTCTTTGTACAGCACAAAACCTTTGTTTAGTAATATTTGTGCTGTTTCTCAGGTTCCTGTTATGTCCCAACTCTCCCTCAGCCATCACCCCACCCATGGCTCAGCTGATGGCCCAAGGCTATGGTGAAGAGGAAGGCATTGGAGTGCTCGTCCACGGGGCTGCAGGTCTTGACGTTGCCTTTTCAGTCACCATCTTTGACTTGTGCCTCGCCATACTTTTCCATGGAAGTGAGTTATCGTCATCTTATATATTTAACATTAGTAGTTGAGTTCTAATCTGTTATATTGAGAACCACACTTATATTACATTTACATTGATTACTTGTGAATTGTAAATAATATTCTGGAAGGGGGTCAGTTTTGTCAAATGTAGGGCTGAGACTGTGAGCCGTAGTAAATCTTTTACGTTTAAGCTGTATCAGGTGGGTTAACTCATCTGTGTAAACCAGTTATACTGTACCAACTTGAACTGGAGGGCCGAGTCAGACTTTGTAGAGGAAAAGGGCATTTTTTTCTGTAAATTGTTTCTGTTTTGTGTTACTTTTTTCAGAAATTCATACAGGTCACTTAGCAAAAAATATGTTAGATTAAATTTGGTTGTTTACTGAACGATTAACTTATTTTCGACTTATTATATGAATTATGAGGATAATTTGTACAGCCTCATCAAACAACCTATTTTCTCCACAGGGCATCTTGAACCTTGGCTCATGATCGGGAAGGGCAGTTTGGACGTTCTTGCGGATATCGTGGGAGGTTTTGTGCTTGGTGTCATCGCAGGTTTACTACCTGTTCAAGATAATGTAAGTTATTTGAAGTACTTAATACATCTGGGATATGACAAGTAACTTTAATAGACACTTCTGGCATGTCATAAAGCAGCAGTATATTTGACTAAATTTTCAAAATTAAATCTAAAAAATACAAATGAGGTGTTCTTTTGGCTGTAAAATGATCAACTTTCCTCATTCTGCGATCATATTTTGAAGTCATCAACTGTTATGCCATCTGACACTAATACGGATGGTACTGCAGAAAAGAAATGAACTGACGCCTACAAGATCAATGGTACCACCAGTTCTTGGCTCCAAAGTTTCGTAGAATACCCCTAGCACCTCCAACTCTAGTTCCTCAATGAAATTGATCAGCTGAAGGGGTTATTTGTGGGGTTCCCAGCTCTTAACTGGTACCTGCAAAAGCACTTGACTTTCTTCCTTGGTCAATCTCATCACACTCTAGTAGATAAGTCAGTATTTTCTCTTGCTCCTGACAGAATATGCAATCTACTAATTTCCCTGACAGTTACCAGGCCATAGTCCTGTCACAATCCTGAGGTAATTTGGTTCTGTCAACTTGTAGTAAGAATAAACACTTTTCAGATCCACTCAAACTAGAAGTTATGCTTCTACAGTCAACGTAGACAACCCTTGGGAGATGAAATCGTGTAACTGATGGTGAAAAGACTGTTTGACTTTCTGAATGAATTTCAGCAATCCATGTCAGGGCAAGCTATAATCCAACTGCAGCTTTGTATAATTGCAGCTTTTCCTGCAGATCAATTACAAGGCCATCTCCTGAAGAGCAAGATGACAAGCCTGTTGAAATAAAGTCAAGCAGTCAGCAATGTACTGTTTTGATTGATTGATATATCTGCAGGCCCTTGCACTGTGGAAACGCACATTCGCCACGATGACGGGTGGCATGTTGGCAATCGTGCTGGGTCCCCGGGTTGGTCTCCCTGGCACAGGTCCGCTCTCCTCCATAGTGACGGGGTTTGTGGCGTCCATGTTGTGGAAACTGCAGGCCCCTCTCAGCACCAAGGTAGGTGTTGAGTATATTGTTCAATATTATATTATTTGGAAAAGTATGTTTAACATAAATATAATTGTTTTGTTTTGCTTTGAAAGGTTAGATTTGAAAGAGGTCTGATATGATCAAATAGTAAAAAAATTACGGGTTTGTTTCTACTTATCAAATATAACTAAAACGTTAATTTTTGTTTATGGTGGGTTTTATGGTGTTTGAGGAATTATTGCTAAAGTTTTCCATCAATATTACTTGAAAAGTAAAAAAAAGGGTTTTCACAACGTTTTTGGATCAGGAAATGAGGGAGTTCTCTTTAAAGGAAGTACCTAAAACACTAGGAAACCTGTGCAGCTCAATGAGCCGCGTAGTAAGAAACACAAACTTGGAGCTTGGATTCCATTAATTTTATGATTCTTAGAGTTGTTTGAAAACTTGATGGGAATTAATGTTAATCTCAGCTTGCTACTATTGGTGTGATGATTGTTTTTTCCAGAAAACAGTGAACGACATCATCCAAGCCATGTGGATCGTCTTGTGTCCGATGCTGTTTGCCTTCACAGGGTCTGACGTGGACATATCCTACTTGGACTGGTACACTGTCTGCTGGATGGTGGGCATTGTGCTCGTCACTGTTGTTGTAAGTAACGTAACCAACAGTAGTGTAGTCGTAAATGTTCAACATCGTCTTGGGAAAAACCATAGGTCGCCTAATAATTAGGAATTTTCGAAAAAGCATAGTGGGAACTACATTCCTACGAGATCACGCCGCCCATCACTGGTAATCAACCAGGTATAGCCTCTGGATCTTGTTCCAAACTATCGATAGGGTAGGAATATTTGCAGTGCAGTCAAGGGATCTAGCTTAATAAAACCTCTTTGTAGGTATAGTGCTCGTTATGTAATCAGAAGATCGCTGGTTCGATTCTGAGAAATAGGCGTTTTCATGGTTTGAAATTGGACCCAGCTGTTCTTGGTCATAAGAATTTTAATAAATAATGATCACCTAAAAAGCTAAAGAACCAGAAGCTGAAATGTTATTCACTAAACACAAATTTTTCCCTTAAATGATACTTCATCTTCGCCTTAAAATATACACCATAGTGTCGTACAAATCTAGTGTATTGGTAGAGCACGGGACTTCAATCCCTGAGGTGCTGGGTTCAAATCCTTCCAATCACCAATCGATTTTATCTTTTTCTTCTAAGTGATGATGCAGGCTAAAGCCTAGTTTGAAAAAATCTTGATCTGTTCCCACAGCTTGACCTAATGCACCTTGATTTTCAACAATGAGTGAAAGTACTTGTTTAATAATACATATTATAGAACCACAAACAAACAGTACCCAGCGTATAAGATTTTAAGCTAGCAGTATACAATAAGAGGTATTTGTAAAGAATGATAATTACACTCTGAGTTTTGATGTCGTAGGTCCGTCTGTTGGGTTGTATTCTTGTCTTATGTGGAGGAGGGTTCAGCTTCAAGGAGATGCTGTTTGTTGGTCTCATATTCCAGGGGAAAGCAACTAATCAGGTTTGTAGCTGGTTAGATTTTCTAAGTTTCAGATTTACTTTGATCATCTGAGTCCCAGTTATTATTTTATTCATTGTGATTTTCATCACATTGTGAACATTATCACAAAATTCCCTCAAATTATTAACAGAAATCAAAGGAATTGTATTACACACACAGTGAGAGGGTAGGTAAAAAGTAGCAAAATGTCTGATTAGAGATGCAACTCATAAAGAATTCGCACACCTCATCAAATTCCGCACCTGTCCCACTTGGTTATTAAAAATACCTAGCTATGGGACTTTTGGAAAAACAATTCCAGTAATTCCTTGTCCTAGATAAATGGTTCTTAAGTGTAGTATGTCAGTTTAGTTTTTAGAAGTGTTTTTTAAAGCTGGCTACTCTTGGATGGATATTTTGTAAGTGAATGTTTTGTTACGTTTCCCATGATGATTGAATATCCTAAAGGAGCTTATCTGGATAGTTAGCGTCAACTAAGTTGAGGAGCAATTTTACATAGCTTTGAATCTTTTTAGTGCAATCTGGAAATCTCATGGTTGACTATCATTTGGCTCATTATCCCATAGATTATTTTTCTATATAAAATCTTCCGACAGTTACACCCATAATACCCCATTCTAAAAACATCAAAACAATTTTTACTCAGTTGAAATCATTTTTCTATCCAGACTCTAATTAAATTGGGTATGGTCCTGACTGGAGGGTAGAACAGGACAGTGGCTGGGCTAATATTAATGGTCCCATTAGTCAAGCCTCATTTAATTTACCACTATTGGTTTGAAATGTAATGAATAATTTAAATAAATAATGAATTCATTATTTGATAATGCGTTACTAAAACTGAATTCTGAATATTTTTTTAAAATTCCAATACTTCAATTTCCTTATTTACTCAGCACAAAACTGGGTGTTTAATGATAACTAAGAAAAAATTATATTGCTTTTTCCATTGTAAAAACTAATAAAATTTTCAATTCATGTTTTACATTTCCATAAGTTCGTTGGTGTTGCATCCAGTGAGGTGTGTCCATATCACTCGGAATACATATTGTGTGATACGTAGATTTAACTTAACCTGAGGGAGGTTATACAGAGTCGTCAAGGAATTCACAAACTGTTGTAATTCTATAGGCGGCACTGGCACCTCAGATATTGTATGCAGCCTGGGCGACCCACGACGACAATGAAGTACGCAAAGCCAACGAGGCTGTGACGATGGGCGTTCTATCCATCCTGATCTGCACCCCGCTGGCCCACCTCGGCGCGCTCTGGGGCGGACCTTGCTTGTTGAAGAAGAAAACAGAGTCATCCACTGCGAGTCGGACGAAAACGAAAACCGACAGCAACCACACGTTCAAAAGTGCTGATGAAGATACGAACAATGTACAAAATAATGTGATGAATGTATGAGCCATGTATGTAAAAATTGTAAATATATTGTAACGTTTTTGTACTTGGTTTTATTGGAAATTTTCTTTGGTATCCTTGGTTGAAAAATTAAATCACGTTGAAGTTTTTAAACCTTAAATGTTGGTACTAGTTTCTCATAAGCCTTGGTAGGCTATATATCAATAGCCTTAACATATGTGGAAAAATGTATTTTGTTTTCCGACTTCAGAAAAAGGCAGTCAGGATAGTTTTGGCGTAAATAGAAGAACATCTTGCAGACAATACTTGCTTTATCACAAATTTAAATGTTTCCCTATTAATTCATCTTGGAAACCTTGATTCTCTTTACAACAAACCCACATCAATAACAATTGAATCATTTACTCTTTCATATTTACTATGAAACAGTTTTCAACTGAAATTGTCATCTTTTTCAATGACTTTCTTTAAGAGACAGTGGCAATAAATTACAACTTACTCTTATTGGTTAAGATTTACTACAGATAAGATGGTTATTGATCGTGTTGCTGATGAGTTAAGTGTTAAGTTAGTTTGAAAGTTTGTCATTACTTCAACTTACTTCTGAAAGTTCACAGACAAAACACATTAAACGCTAGTCGATCGTTATTTAACATAGTTTTCTTTTGCATGTATTTTAAATAACAATTGGCTAGTGTTTTATGTGTATTGTTTGTGAGCTGTTGACACACCTCTACCGGCAAGAATAGTCATAAGCTATAACAAAAAATATGCGCCAAAATTAGCATAATCCAGTAGGACAAACTTGGACCACAAGGTGACAACAGATAATTTAACCTTTTAATACGTCAAATGTATTGAAGTAGTTATTGTGCACCATTAGTGGTGGTTTCAAGGGGAGGAGGGCTACAGGAGCTAAAGCCTCCCCCATTGGATCCTGGAAAAACAAATTTAAACATATATTTTGTTGTTAAAATGTAACAGAGGTTTTTGGTCACAGTTATAGACGTTAATAATGGCTTTGAGACAGCCACAAAATGTTTTTAAGAATACAAAACTTTCCCCGGATCTCCCTTCCTTTTCTTGAGCCATTCACACCGCCTGATAGCCCGCCGCCCCACCTTGACAAGGTCCTAAAACTGCCACTTTCCACCAGGTCCGTTTTTAAATGGGCCTGGCCAATAGGTTTTAGGCTTTGTTTGGTGCTCAAGTAAGAGAAATATTCCCCCACAAAGTAGGTGGAGAGGGGGTAATTATCTCTTGGGGGCCCATAGTGCATCACATGACAGCTGTGCGCCAGGAATCTGTAGAAACAAGAGGTAGGAGAAGGGATGTCCTAGCTAGTCTGCCAGCAGCACAATTTGTCAAATGTAACATACAATTCTTTTGGAGGGTTACCAAAGGAAAGGACTAACGATGATGTTACCTTCAGGGCTAAAAGAATTGGACAGCAAAATAAATGATAAATGGCATGAAAAATGTGAAGAAATAGCAAATCGTTTCTAGGAATTAATTAATTAGAGGGATTGAATCTATAGCTTTGAGAAAAATAGTCTGTATGTCGATTTTCCCCAAGGGATCAGTCCACCGTTTTCAACAATGAGTCTCACAAAAGATTTCTAGAACAGCCTCAGTCGATGTTGGCTAGATAACTAATTATCTGTTCACTTTACTAGATTTTTAAATGCGCACTAAAAAATCATGAATTTCATCCTACATTTAAAAAATTCGTTCCCAAACAAAATGGTATATCCTTCGCTGTAATGCTTAGCTAGTCTATGTATACCTTACCTCTGAACCGAGTTATTTATTTATTTTATGGACACGCCTTCTAAACTATATAGGCTTACGCAATACATCTCGGTTTAAACGTAGCATACTTCAAGCTTACAGGCGTTTCTGTAATTCCAATCGCCCATCAAAGTTTATTTTTACTGCAAATTCAAATTGGTATGCGTTTATTATAGTACTAATTCGGAATACTTTAGTTTTATTACCCATTTGCAGACCTGTTCATTGCATGAACTACCAGCTGAAATGCATTACAATCTAATCAGCTGTTTAGTACAGTTATTAGTAGTTTTCCATTGAATCATTGCATAATATCATTACGTCCCAAAGTTGGCTCTGTTTTAGTAGGTTCATGACAAGCTGTCTAGCTTAATGATTCTTATCTCCAGATATGAAAAAACGTGTCAGAACCATCAAAGCGATCAATAAGGGTATCTATCATAACCAAAAATAAGTTTAAATTGAAGGCCATTGTTATCGATCAGTGTTTCTAAATAATTAATAATGAGATTACTGTTTAATCTTAACATTATTTATCCGAATATTGATTAACGTAAGTTATAGAAGTGATATTTAAAAGTATGAGAAAAGCTTTATAACACATTAAACGCACAGTATAACCAAACTACCCCCGCCACAGCAAATTCCCATTTATCTAGCTGGAATTCCACTAAATTATTCGCTTAAAATTGTCAGATTTATTTCCTATTTAAATATAATTAATTTTATCCTCTGATAGTTGATGTGACACAGTATAATATACAATAGTTTACATTGAGATTTTCATTTAGGGGTAGTCTAAAAGTTGGGGTGTTGGAGTAACGGTATTCGAAAAAATCAGTAATTTATGTTAACAGGCTCATTACAACAACTTTAACATATTAGCTAAACAGTACCTTTGCTTAAGTTGTTAATGTTTATTTCCAGCATGGACTATAAGCTATAGTTTGTGTTGAGTAATTAATGCACAGAGAAACTTATTCCAACTTCATGGAAGGTTTTTTGTACTGCATTTTCCACCTTGCGAGCATAGATAGCAGACGATGAACTCAGCTGGCAATATGATAACCTGCGCTAGGGTCAGCTGTCAGCTGGCACGTGGAGTAAGAAGAAGATTAAAAACAAGTCTCGTCATCCAACGGAACTATTACAAGTTGTTATCAGCTATAATATTCGTAGTAAACAATAAACTGCGTAGTTTGCAAAAATCTAAACGCTGCATTTTGACTGTCTGGAGTAAATAATGCGATGGTCATTTGTGCAATAGTTGGAAAATCATTTAGCTGGAGTTCGAGCAACTATAGAGTTTGTAGTAAACATAACTTGCATTGATTTTGATACTCAGAGGATGTACTGTATTCCTTCTTTAGTGCAAAGGTAAAACATGCCTATTGGTTGTGCATCCATAAAGATCAGCTCCGGTGTATTTTGAGTAAGTTTTCCTGATTGCTAAGTTATTGCCATTTCAACATCTCTAATATGATTTTAACCAACCAAATCACACGATAACCGTTGCTTGTCCGATGGGATATTTGTTAGATGATTTTTTTTTGTAAAAAGTAAAACATACACTTCAGTAAGTAAAAAAAATCTGGCCGATATCAGTGCATCGGCACTGAAACTTGATACTCTAAAGTACAACGTGACCTAATATGATACTTTAATGCAAACTTTGGAGTTTACAATAGAATAATGAGTAGCCAAGACTTGTAATATCCAATGTCAATAAAACTGGACACTTTTTTATTTCATCAACTGGGTTATTGTGTCTACCTATGGGCAACAAAGGGGAATTACTAAGCAATGGACGACATGACAATACACTTTACAGCAACGGATTAATGGAGTGTCATAATAACCAAGAAATAGCCCGTAATAGCATTGACTTTAGACACAGCAAGTATACTTGTCAGACTATGATTCAAATTTTGACATGCTTTTCATGTATTTTACGAATGGTTTTCACTAAAAGTTTCTCTCTTGTTTTTTTGGAGATGTTACAGTGTTTGCTTTACTCTTTCCAAACTGACAATTATTTTAAAATATATACATTTTGGTTCAGGCAATTTTAATGTTGGCGAAATAACAAGAAATTAATAATAGTTAACACCACAATACACTCGCTGGACAAAAACATGCAAATTTTCTTCAGATGATTTCTAAGGATGACAAAGGAGCATGTTTTTGTGGTGATGGCTTACTCATTATACCTAACTAATTATTCTTCGTAGGGAAAGAGAAAGTAAAATTAAATAGTCGCCAGATGTGATGGCTTACCAAAGAGTAGTTTAGGCAATTCCGTTGTCGATGACCGATGACCTGTTGTTAAGAGGTTTGCCAACTTTCAATATATAAATAGTGAGCAAACTTGACGCCAACTCAAGTACAAGTGTTATGTAGATTAGGGGAAGAGGAAAACTGATTTTAAAACAGTTAGTGGATAATTGCACCATAAGCGATTCATAGCATGGTGCCCCCGTCGGTGAACAGCATCTTGGTTATAATTAATTTGCAGTGATGTAACTTGCAAAAAGCTTGTAAACCTGCCTTTTATTGCTTTGAAGGTACCTCTTGATGGATATCGTGTAGGAATTTTAAAGTCGAGGTGTTGGTTAGTATTATTACAACTTATTTAGATGTATTGTAATGTAAAGTGCAATTACATTTGACAAATAATTTAAAATATACTTATACTATATACCATTTAGTTGTTTCCTGAGTTCTTATAGGTGCCTAAGATGTTTGTGTTGTGTTGCGTCACAAGCATCTTACCTACAAAAAATTTAATAGGCAACAACAACACAGGTAAATCTAATATAATTCAAGTTCTTGAATCTGGGATTGCAGCAAAAATTTTAAAATAACAATCGTTGAAATGCATCAAAAAAGTTTTGAACGTTTACAAAAATGACTGACTTTAGAAACGGACATTATTATTGCAAATGCAAATTATTTTATTTAGCTCATGGTGGAAAGCTCGTACCACAGAAAACATACTACTATAAATAACCAATTTTTTGGTTATAGTAGTATGTTTTCTGTGCTCGTACACAGCTGATCCAGCTTGACGTTTTTGAATATTGTGGTTTGTGAACTACCACTTCAATACACACAGAAAATTACATTAAAACATGTGAGTATTAAATGGTGCAACCCCAATGCTGTGAAAACTACGGTTAAAATGGGTGTACAGCTTTTGTGATTTTCCTCATTGTTAGCACCACTTACCCATTACTGTATAATGATTGTTGGACAAGCTTGATTTTATTCTGTTTATAGTAGATTTCTCCTATTAGGCCTAT